TTCAGTTTATTGGTTGTGTCCAGACCTCCATCTGTCTGATCATCCTCCTGCTGGAAGCCTGGGATCTTCTTCATATATTATATTCTTGTGCTGGAACCCGTTTTCCAGCCTCTTCCTCTTTGCCTCCTTCCCTTCTCTGATCTTAAGTTGCTTCTAAATTCTCCTCATCATTTCCTTCTCTTCCTCCTTAAAGGCTGTTTGTTCTTGTTGAGCACTTCCTTCAGATCACCTGTGATCCATGGTTTATTGTGATCTAATTTCCCAAGAAGATGTCTTCCTTCAGAGATGCAGGAATCTTTGATATTTGCATAAAACAAGATAAAAGTTTAGTTTTCTCTGTTTTAGCAGCTGACAAACTTCTGGAACGATGGCGGAGTAGCAGAGATGTTATTAAAACCACCAGGCATTGCCACAAATGCATTTGGCTGTTGTATCTGTAGCTAAGCAACGACAGAACTGATGACATCACATTGAGTGAAGGTGGACTATAAAGGGTTTATCACCAACACTGCCAACCCTCCTCCTTTGAGTTTCCCAGTCTTCTTTAAATCTCAGTCTGCTGGTACGGTCAGAAAGCCTGGCAGGGAGACGTTGGAGTCTGAGAAATGATCCTGCAGCCATGTTTGAGTAAAACACGTAAAGCTGCATCACTGATATTCTGGCTGGGTCCTTCCTAAGGTTTGGAGTTCTTCTTGCTCCTTTCCTCACATTGCAAATGTTGATTGATGGAAGAGATGGCTTAAATTTCCTGCTCCTTCAGCTTAACTTTGCTCCTGCTTTGCATCCCTTCCACCTCCTTTTCAGCTAAACTTGTACTTGCAGAGATACATTATTTCAGCTTTACAAATGTTAATGGGTGTAAAATAATACAATTTGCAGTGGTTGCGCATCATAACAAGTGTCTGAAATGGTAAGAAAGAATTTGAGAAAATCCATCAAGCTCCACAGCATCAAACAGGCAAAAAACAATCTGATCCATGAAGAGGGAAGCTAACATTCTATAGGAAGGAACGGCAGAATTAAGCTAGCAGAACTCACACCTGCAGCAGTGCAATGCCAGTATTCAGCAACAGAGCTAGAATCCTGATTTTCTGATTTCTGATTTAGAAGTCTGTTATTCTCCTTTCCAACAGTTGTTACCTGGAATAGCATCTGGAGGAAGTTTTCCGGTGGCCAGCATGATGTCCCTGAAGTTCAGAGAGCTGTAGTAAACGTGACACGTCTGCAGAGAGGAGCTGCTGGAGGAGGAGTGGCGGAGAGGGGAGGTGATCCAGCGCAAGGAGGACAGGTCACCTCGAGTCAAAACATTGATGAATGCAGACTCTGTCAGCTCCTCCTTTGGCTCTGGAAAACAGAAAACACGACCATGAGGAGGCGAAGTGACCTAAACCACCTAGTGTGAGAAAAGAAAACGGATTCCTGTGCTGCATCAAGTCTCCAAACCAGGGTCGGTCCAAACATCAAGCATCTCCTCTACTGCTGAGATTGCAGCTGCAACAGACTCAGTGAAGCTGGACTAAATTTATCAAGCTTTTACCTTGAGAGATGAGCTGGTGTCTGAAAGTTCCCCAACGGCCGTCTCTGAACACATTCATCACCAGATCCCCCTCCATCGCTGACTCCGTGGACTTCTGGCCAGGCTCCAGGCATGGCGTTGCTGAAGATCCATTCAGATTGGACACAAACATGCAGCTGGTGGAGAAGCAAACACATGAAAAAATCTGATAGACGTGAGAAACGGCTCAACCTGAGGAAACATGGGTCCATAGCGCCTCACCGGATCCGGCTGCCACCAGGCTCCTGACGCAGACAGTTGACCATTCCCACAATCCCACTGTGGGCCTCTGACGACATCAGCCACACGGCGGCGTCTGATGGATCTGCCAGAAGGGCCTGCAGAACCAATCAGAACCAATCAGAACCAATCAGACAACTGCTGCAGGATGCTGACAACAAAGGTCAGTCATTCATTATTGGAGACTTAGAAAGTTATTCTGTTATTCTAAACCAGAGGAGTAACTCCCTGAAGGTCCTCCTCCTAACGGACCTTCTCCAGAGGAATAAGGAGGTCCTCCTCCTAACGGACCTTCTCCAGAGGAATNTCAAGGCAGGAGGTCTATAGTCACTTAGGACTGCTGGCTGAGTCTTCTTTGGTCCTGGATCAAGGCAGGAGGTCTTCCACATCCCTGGAACTGTCTCCAGGGTCAGACTAAGGGGGAGAGGTGCTGTAGAATCCCACAGAGCTGCTCTGCTCAGACCTTCAGGACTCTGACACCATCAGGACCTGCTGACTGATCACCATCCAGTCTCTCCTGTTGCCTCTTTACTGACTTCTAGAGACAGACAGGTGGAAGGTGGAGGGAGCAGCACCACCTGCTGGTCTGGCTGATAATAGAAGCAGGAGAGTGAATGTCAGAGGAGGGCAGGATGTCCATGTGACTGAGGGCAGGAGAGGAAGATGCTGAGTTAGTGACTCCCAGTCTGCAGCTTGCAGAGCTTCTTCAGCTTCCTGTGGCCATATTCTTCCATTTTTTATGCAGGTTACATGGCCTACACTGAGCAGAGAAAACTAGATTGTGATCTGATTTCCCAAGAGGAGTTTTACCTTCAGAGACGTTGGAGTCCTTAACTTTTGCATAAAAGTCCAAAGTTTTGTTTTCTGTTGTGCAGCAGCTGAAACACTAATGGAACGTTGTCAGTGTAGCAGAGAGTGAGGGTGTGATTAAAATCAACAGTTACTGCCAGAAATTAATTTGGCTGTTGTGTCTGTAGCTTAGCAACAGCTGAACTGATGACATCACTCAAAGTATCAGGAACAGCTAAAGGTGGAATGTAAACAGTTTCTAAAGCAACACTGGTAAACTCTCTGGGTAAATAAAATGGAAACCAACAGTTGAACATGCGAGCTGCAGTGATGAATCTTCTAACATGTCCTGGATGACATCATCGGTTGTTCTCTAACACTTCTTTGAGTTTTCCAGCCTTCTGTAAATCTCTGATGCTTTTACTGATGAAAGCTGAGCTCTGGTTCATCGATCCGTTTCTGGACCAGCCTGGAACCAGAACTCACTGTGGTTCTGTATCAAAGCGGGGACACCCACGCTCCCTCTTTGGATGCAGAAAGGAAATAAAGTCTTTCACATATCTGAGGTTTGAGGGTTACATTTAAAACGTTGGGCTAAACGTCTCTCCTATGATGCTCCTGGCAGACACACCTGAGCCGTATTACCTGAACTGGATCTGCAGCAGCCATCTTCATCCAACTCATTCTGACCGTTTATACTGAACGACATAAAGAATGGTTTGAATACTTTGAGATTATTTTTATTTGAAATGTTGATCTTATTACTGCATGTAGATAAAAGTTGTACTTTTATTTATTTATGTTGTGTGGAAATGACAGTGAGTTAAGTGGAAGATTGGTGTTAGGAATAAACAACAGTAGAAATATTAACACATCAGCTTTTAGACTTTTATTGATTTCTGGAAAACAGTTACAGCAGCCATAATGTTTCAGTCATTAAACAAAACGGTGCTTTTTAATGAATCAATGTGTGAGAACATGGGACCCTCTCACAGCCTTTAGCTTCACTCAGACCAGCTGGTCGGATAACAAAAGGAAAACCTTCATTTAAACAATAATTTCTGCCCAGTTTGTACTTCAGGCACACCGTAGGGTTCAGGTCCAGGTTTTAAGGCAGACGCTTTATTTAATGTTTGAAATGAACATGAATTTAGTCTTTATGAAGAGCGTGAGATGAGATGCAGGTTATTGATGGGATTTAAAGGGCAGCCTGTTTTCTCAGACAGTCCTCTGCTCTGCACCTGCTCACCGTCTCTTTTCGCCCAGGTTGGGTCAGAGAGGAAGAGGCATAAATCACTGCAGTGAGATAACGACGGGAGGAAGACGACCTGAGTGTGTGAAGCTAGCATAACGTGAGCAGGCGATGAAACCCGATCCACAAAGTTTTCCTGAAGGCATGTTTTTCCAGCGCCGGGCTCAGACGTTGTATTCAAACACAGCAGAGCTTCAAGTAGCTCCTGCCGCTTTCTCTGTTGTTTTTTGGGGGTTGACTTTGCCCTCCCCCTCCTGTTTACTTTTGCCGGGGCTCCCAGGAGGCACAGGGTGTAGCCAGTCCTCGACAGCCTGCAGTGTCTGGGCTGAGGATTTACTCTTGTCTCCTCACCTGCAGGGGTCTCTGCTTAGATTAATGCTCCACACACAGGGACCTCGGGTTTCACATAAAATAAACCAGCTTATCCCGCATACCGCCTTCCCTGATGATGAATTATGATGGCGACTTCAGCCAGCATAGAAGACATGAAACATACGAGACATAACCCCATGTCAGCTCCACCTCTTAGTGCTCCAAAAATATCTCCACTTTCTTTAGATGTATGGAGCAACAAGAACAGACACATAAAAGCATTTATGCTTATTTATGACTCATTTTGAAAGAGCAGAGGAATTAAGAAACAAATTTCGAGGAGCTTCTTAGATTGTTTTTGCTCAGTAGGAAAAGAAAAGGACAACATGGTGAGACCCAGAGAGCAGCTAAGAGCTTCGATTATAGTAATGCAGTCTGGAAGGAGGTTCATTGTTTCAGTAGGACCAGTCCGACCCCACAGACAGCTGATGGTCCAACAACTACAGAGAGACTTTAATGGATGAACCAAAAACAGAACCTGAAGCACAGATTAGAGAGAGTCATGGTCTGGGTCCAGATCTCTGCTGCACCCTGATCTTCACCATCACAGAACTCACCAAGGTTCCTACTTCATGTTAGACGGTTCCTGAGAAAAACGTGAGACAATCTGAAAAAATCAAAGCGCCAGAGTAGAAGTGGAAATATGATCCACCAGGGACCGGCTCGGAATGAAGAAGGTCCACATTTTCTTCAGATGCTGGTGTGCAACTAGACCCTACCTAACAGGCAGACACCAGGAGGAGTGGACACATCGTTCTCTGACAGGCGTCAGAAACCAGTCATCATTGGCCTATTGGTTGACAGCCATGTCTCTGTGTGCTCGCTTTGATGACCCAGTCACCTGCAGCCCACTGGCCACCATGTTGTTCCAGGATGTGGGTCAGCTTTAAAGGAGCGTTTTAAGAGGCAGTTAATCCACAGGTGGAGGATGAAGTCCAGTCAGCCACCAGTAGACTCTGACCTGGCTGACTGAGAATCTTCATCAGCATACAGTCAGGATCTTAGCCGTTATCTCTTCAAAGATGGCGCTGCTGCTCAATCGTCCTTCACTTTGCATCCCATCATCACAGGGCGCTGGGCTTCAGCCTTTCTACCTTATAATGAGCTCCTGATACTTCAGATCCTCGTCTTCTATCTTCTTCTCTACTCCAGGCTGTTGGCTTTTCTGGGAAATTCTCAGTTTTTTTATTGAGTCTTGGCCTTGTAGCATTCACTGCAGAATAAGCATGTACCCTAGCAACAGAGGGCAGTTGCTTTCATTGGATCATTGTATTTGCTGCAGTCTCTCATATATCAAGGCTGCACATAGAAACAGTGGGAAAGAAAACTCCTCTTTAGCAGGCGGAAATCCCAGGAGGAACCAGACTCAGTGTGAACAG